AGGACGACAACCTGATCGGGTGACTGACTTAATCCAGGAAGGAACACGCAGGACGAAGCTCTTGTCTGTTTGCAGATGGAAGTTGTCAATAGCTTGGACCGTAATAATCTTGGTAATTGGCCAGCTGCTGGGTAAAGTGAGTGTTTGCCAGGATAGAGCTGAAAGTAAATGGGATTAAGTCAACTTAACTTTGGGAATCCTACAATGAATTTTTCCTAAACATGCTTAAACGCCAGCCATGAGATACGATGGAAATTAGTTGCTTGTCTCCTTCGAGGGGTTTTATGTTTTGTGTTTCTTTTTTTGTAAGGTAAAACAAATCAGCGCTGGCAATTCATGTTAATAATAAGAAACTCCAAACAGAAAACGAGACAGGCACAAAGGCAGTTTGCCAAGAGGCACACAGACAAGCCAAGACAAGGAAGGTGGGGCAAGAAACTAAAAACAAGCAACAAGCAATAAGGGCGAACAAGTCCAAGCTGTAGCCTTGGCACCGATTGCAAAAAGCTCTTAACTTTTACATACCTTCAATAGACGACTTTAAACAGTGTGACTATGCGAAACGGGCCAAAAAGCTTATAAATATTTAAATGTAAATATTTAAGTAGCTAACAGCGCCAGAAGTAGCCAAAGGTAAGAAAGACACTCGAAAATGACGATGCGAGCATGAAAATATGAAAATGCCCGGGTGCTGGGCTAATTTAATGGAGTAGAACTGAGTCGCTCGTTTTGGGTGGTTGGCTGACTACTTGCTGCCAGCCAGCCAGCCAGCCAGCCAGCCAGCAAGCCTGCCAGTTGACTGCTTCATTTACTTGATGACAATGTCTCATAAATAATGCGGGTGCCCTATTAATATTTAAAGCCCATCGCAAATTGAATGTGCGCCCAATGTGAACGAAGAGTCGAGTCTATAGCTCTGGCTTGCCTGGCAAAATTGCTTAAAGCTGCCTTTCATTGCAATAAATAGACTGATTAACAGCACTGTCTAAATATCTAGTTGCCATTACTAAGCATTGAAATGTGACATAAAGAAACCGACCAAACTTAGCTCCATCATTTAGATTGTGATCGTACAGCTTTGCTTACCTGGACTGCACAGAGACGGAGTAATAGATGAGTATGTTTTCAAGCAAACCCCATTTTAGGAATTACAAATTGAATTCTTAGCTCGAACCCAAGTAGTTAAGATGTTGGTATTTGACCTCACTCAGTTGGCCATTTCAAAGGCTAACAGATCGTGACCAGATGGGGGAGGCAGAGAAAGGGAAAAATAACTGGTCGAGAGGAGCTCAGCATTGACTTTTCTTTCACCTCGAATTGCAAGTCTGTTGCACGGCATTTTAGAGTCCATTTGGCTTGGCATCTTGGGCACTCGGCCATTCGGCCACTCGGCCTTGCCACTCATGTTAATTTTTATGACGTACTTTAAGTGAGCCATTAAATAAAAAGCGAGCAGCCCAAGCAAAAAAGGGGCGACACGTTTGTGTTTGTGGCCGATGCGGTGGCTTATCGCAGTAACAAATTAAAATGTATGAGCAACCCATTGAGAGGCTAACGAAGGGATCGGAATGGGAATGGGAATGGGTCTGCCATTGACTCAGCCCCTCTCAGTCTTCGTGGTCGTTGTGCTTTGTGGGGCAAGGTGAACACGCTGAAAGGCAAACGTTGACGCGTGGTTACTGTCGCCAGCGTCAGAGTCAACGACAACGGCAACGACAACGACAACGGCAGCCGGCGTCGTCAACGTCAGAGCTAAAACTCAACGTGTGGTTGGTCGGTTGGTCGGTCATTTGGTCGCCAAATGACATGGACGTCAACAGGCCAAAGTCAAAGTAGCTGTGGCAGATGTAGTGTGGTAGCGCCAACCCCCAACACAGACCAGCCACAATCTGCCACCCGTCCCAGCAGCTGCCGATCCATTCTCTACTACAGTGCATGCTCGCTAATAAGAACAACTCGTTAGTGCAAATAATCATCAAATCAATCAATCAATCAATGCATAATGTTAAGAATTAATATACATATATAAATATATATTTACTTATCCTAATTTAAGGATGCAATATTCTGAAAACAAATAGTTCTAATTTCCAGAGTGTTTTTTTGTAACTTATATTATTGATAAACATTATTATTTGAGGATTTCACATATACAATCATTTCAAAAAAAAACTGACGAGTTTCCATTTCAAAAAGACAAAGTTTTTTGGCTACTTTTTAGCCATGTTTTTTGGGTGCTGTCGATTTAGGGCAGGTTCCTCTTAAATTTAGAAATTTTATTTCTTATATTTAAAACTTATATCCAAGAAAAACTTTTGTAATTGTCAGGGTGATTTTCTAAAATTCATGGCGAATTTATTTTCAGTGTAAATTGTTTCTTTTTTAGCTACTTGTGACAACTTTGATCTCCTAGGTTCAAGCCTTATTTTGGATTAGAATTGATGCGATTGATAATATAGAAGTTTTATGTTGTTGTTTATCACATAATAGCTGGCATGTTAACAATTTTGTTAGAAGTTGCAGTTAAGGAGCGACCACTGTACGTGCCAAAGCCACAGCATCATTCTGTATTTTGCCGCCCAGTGGGAGAAGTAAGAGATGTGTGAGGGAGACAGCTTTGCGGTACTCTCATTTAGAATGGACGTGTAGGTGACGACGTTGGGTTGAGATGGTTGCTTGCCACGCCCTTCGCGCCACCCTTTCAAATATTGACAAATTTTTGACAAGTGTCAAAAAGGGTGTGCCAAATGCTGTGCTGACGTCATGGCCAATGGTGCTGGTTAGCTGGAGAATCTGTTATTTTCTTGGACACAAGGTGTTTGTTGTTGTACGCCTTAATTATGGCCCTAATAAGCTAAATCTAAGGCAAAGTTCAAAACTGGGTCATGTCACAATGCACTTGAATAGCTCCCAGTTCAAAACTTCTTGGTGTCTCCGGCTCGGCTATATGTTGGACCAAATCGCGTTGGCAAAACGCACTAAAAGCCAAAAATTCATGAATGCCTGAGAGCATTTTTAGCCAACGGAGAACAACCACAACCAGCAGACCAGGCACAAAATGACCTTTCGCTGGCGTGTAGCTTAAATTTTTTGATGAATAAAAGATAACTGAGCTCATTACACACAAGCCAATAAACAAGAGCAGCATCATCATTAAAAGTTAAAACAACAACGGAGAGACTCGCTTCCTTCCCCATTCGAGTTCGAGAGTAATGAACATATATATTCTTACTACCAAAAGTCGCTTTCAAAATGGCTTCACTTGTTCAACTTACACACAAACTGCATATATAACAGGAAACAACAAAATCAAGTTGAATTTGAGAAATTTGCCACAAGGATAATTCACCTTATTATTTGAACATTTTTTTGTACAAATCTGAGTTTTTTTTTCCTAATTTCAGGGTAAAATTTCCTACAATTATTTTAAAAATAGTTTCTGAAAATGAAGAAGATTTTTTGCTATTGTTCAGAAATGTATTCATATTTCAAATATTTCTAAGACTTCCTAATTGTTAGAAATTGTTTTCGTTTAATTAGAAATTGTTTCTCAACAACAGAAAACCTTCTAGTTTTCAGGGCGTTTTTTTTTTTAGGGTGCATAATTGCTCGAGAATATGCAGCTTCATTTTGTAATTGGACATCGGTAAAGTAATAAACGTTGTGTGCACTTTGATATTTTATCGAGTTTCCTCTTGCTTGGCATTTTCCTTTCCCTTTCCGTTTCCGTTTCCGTTTCAAATTCAATTCTTTTCCCCGTTTCGTGTACGTCTTAGTGGCATTATTAATTAAAAAGCATTAGCTGCATTATAGAAACTGGGCAATTCATACACTCAGAAAAATAATTGTTGCACTTATACTTTAAGAAAGTAATGAGATCAACATGAGAATATCTTTTCGACTATAACTTGTGTGATTCTTAACCGTTCTTGATGGCATTTCTAATGTTGATCAATAATATTTCAATGTATATTATATGTAATCGATTATCGGTTATCGCTTTGCATCTATACTGGGCAAACGTTCAAAGTTATCGATAAAGTGAAATAAAACTTGATTTGGATATGTGATACAACAGCTTAAATTCCAATCCTGAAGGCTGTCTCAGCCAGAAAGTAATTAAGTGTATACAAATGTATACTTTATGGAGTGGTTGATGCGGCCTTCCGTTCTGGCCATAATAACATTATAATCTGGGCATGCTTGGTTGCGCCACAGCGCCACAGCATGCAACTGTCAGTGAATTAAAGACGCAAGCAGATGTCCAGCTAAGAAAATGCATATTACGTATACGACCTGTTTGTTGTGGTTGCAACAAATGCTTTAATAATTGATAGCAATAATTGCGCAGGATTTGCGCACATTTTCTGCTTAAATGCACATGCAAATTAATGCGATTGTATAATCGGCAACCAAAATCAAAACGAGTCGATTATGTTATTGCTACTTGAGATTTTCCAACTCTTTTTATTTAATGTGGCCTAAATAAAGTCCACAAATTTATAAAACGCAGCCAAAAATAAACATTTCACATTATATATTTCGAATTCGAATTAAAACTACAAATTAAACTTAATCAGGTTAAAAGGGAGCAATTAAATTATAAATATAATATTGATCGGGGGTATTAAATTGTAAAATGCTTCACCTGTCTCTCTCCCTGTCTCTCTCTCTGTCTCTCTCTCTGTCTCTCTCTCTGTCTCTATCTCTCTCTCTCTCTCACTCTTTGAGTCTATGAGTATCACTTGCTCGCAATGTTTTTATTTACTCTATTTTATGCTAAAACAATTGTTTTATCTTTGCAGTGCCATATGCAACCGATAAGACTGTGTGAGGTGGTCAACAACAAGCAGCAGCTGCAGCAACAACAACAACAAAAAAAGCAACAACAAACAACAAGAATAATCAAACAAGAACAACAAAATTAGCATCAAAACTAAAAGTTCGACTCGCCTCGCGTAGCGTGTGTGTGTGTGTGAGTGTGAGTGTGTGTGTGTGTGCGCGCGAGTGTGTGTGAGTGTGTGAATATCCGGGTGTGTGCGTGTGTTAGTGTGTTAGTTTCCTAGACAAAATGGCGGACGGCCAGCGCATTGAAAATGCAGCGCTGCTCAGCAACAGAGTCGCCAGCATCTAAGCGAATGCTCAAAGATCGAGCAGGGAACCGCCCCACAGCACACAGAGGGACAGCAGCGCAAGGCGGCGTGAAAGAGGAGGAGAAGGAGGAGGAGCAGACGGCAGGCGGCAGACGGCAGGCAGCCACATCCATCCATCAACCATCCAGCTGCAGCAGGTGCAGCGTTCAGTTGCCACTTCCAGTCATCGCGGGGCGGCGACGCGGCATAGCAATTAGGCAGGCAGCAAAATGCCTGGCGGACGACGCGGACTGGTTGCGCCGCAAAACACATTCCTCGAGAACATCATAAGGCGCTCCAATTCGCAGCGTAAGTAGACAAACAATAGAAAACCCCCATTCCCCCCGACACAACCTATACCTGCTCCATATGCATACATCAAATTTCAATTCCGACGAAAGCTAACTGTATCCTGATCCAAACTGTACACTCAAAATAAAATTTACAAATTAATATTAGAAAGAAAATTATGTTTATGTATGTATTTTGTAGAACTATTTTCTATTGCTAAGAAATGCATTTGTAAAGCGTACAAATGCAAATCATGATTTTTTGGAAAAATCCGTTCTGAAATGCTGAAAATATAAATGAAATATAGTCTCCCGACTGAGCTGCTATCTTAGCTCAGCAGCTAAAGAAAGTTGTACCTGATTTTTATAAGCTATTTATATTTAGTTTAAGTTTAAGAAAAATCCGCACTGGAAAACCTCAATTTTATAAATTTACTTACTGAGTAATAAAGTAAAATTCATGTAAATTTTTATATAAATACCATATATTTCAAAGGGGTTTTCAAAATGTAGGTAAATAAATAAATACTAAATAAAAAGTGATCCAAATTAAATATAGAGAAACAGAGACTTAAGCATTCCACTAAAATTGTTTAAATCGAACTACTTCCGTTGGCTGACATGCAACATGTAATCAGTCCACATTAAAGAGATAATGATGGACATCGTTGAAAGACACACTTGTTGAATAGGGATGCCGCACGGCACTAGACCACTTTTGAGTGTGAACCGCAGCTCAGCTCCAATTCAGATATGTACCAATAAAATGGACCAGGTAGTCTGTTTGAAAATTACATTCCTCTAAGCTCAGCACTGACACGCCCATTTGTGGTCAGTTGTGGTCCAGCATTCTGCGATTGCCAGTTTGGAATGGAAGGCAACAACGATGGTCATAGGGAGAGCGATGTGAACGGAAAGGGAATAGGAATAGGAGTGGGAATGGGAATGGCAATGGTAATGGAAGATGGCGATGCCAAAGCCAATGCAAACAGAATGTGAAATGATTTTCCGTTAAGTTGTCAACGCTCACACCTCGCGCTGGGCTTGTGTGCGTGCGTGCGTGTATGTGTGTGTGTGTATGTGTGTGTGTGTACAGGATGCTGGCTAAACACACACACACACACAGACATACACGTATGCCATTGACAGCAGCCTAACTCTATAAATAGACACACGTTCCGAGAAAGCGCCCCCAACTCACCCGCCAGACACGTCGACTGCTGAGCTGACATCGCCCCAGGGCCAATTAAAACGGCGGCAGCAACCTGTTGACCAACTGAACAAAAGAAACGGAATGGATGTGGGGGGGTGTATGGTGTAGGGGATTATGTAGGTATATAGGGTACAGGAACAGTAATAGAAATAGAATACACAAAGTAATAGGATTGTGCATGGGCATAGAATTGTGAAATGAAACAGTAATGCAAATTGGAATTACAGATTGGATGGCATAACTATATAAGCGGGATTCAAGCGTGGACTATACCGGGAAATGGCCATGAAATCGGATTATGAAAAGAAATTGCATCAACGCGAAGCTATAAGATGAAATATATGTATCCGACTAGAAATGAGTAGAGCAATATGAGGCTAGATATAGGTTAGATAGAGAGAAAAAGAGAGTAAATCGAGGTGTAGAAAATAGCATCAAAGAGAAGCTTTATGATGAATGATATGCATATGACTGAGATATATGTATATATATATATAAAGCAATATGAGGCTAGATATGGCTGGAGCTTGTAGATAATAGGGATCTAATTGTAGATAAACATATCCATCTAGGAATACGACGATGATGAACTGGAAACAGCAATAAGCTTGAGTATGTCAAGGGATATGAAAGGTTGTGAGGCTGATGGCTTGAAATGATGAAACTAATTATCTAAAGTCACTCATAAATCACACATACGAGTGCGCGCACTCAGAAATAGGCATATTAATTGCATAACCCAATTCTCAACAGTCAGCTACATTTTACAGCAGCAGCAGCAGCAGCAGCAACAAAGAGCAACAAACTGACAGCAACAAGCAGACAATTAACAAACTAATAGCTGCAGCCACTCAAAATGTACACAATGCAATCCAGCCAAAACCAGCTAACTAACACCACACAGTCAACTCTCAGACAGTTGCTGCAGTTGCAGTTGCAGTTGCAGTTGCCACACAATTGCATTTGTTGTTGTTGCAGCACTTGTTGTATTTCATGTGAATACAACTGCCTGTCTGTGCAGCTGGCGGGTGTTGTTTTTGTGTGTGTTTTGGGCTGTGTGGTTTCGAGACTTGCATTTCTACTAGCTGTGTGAATTGTAAATAACACAATATGCTAATTAAGCAATAAGTGCAGCAAGCGAAATGGTCAATGACATCGCTTATGCAACTATTCTGTTCTATTCATAAACTATTACACTCTGCTACATTTATAGAATAAAATAGACATAAAGCTGAATGGAAATGTTCTTGGCTTTAGTGGTACTCAAAGCGCTATATTTGGAATACGAAGCGTTAACTTTTAATAATCTTATGCTAATTATTATTGGTAGACTCTGTGCCTCCCACTGATAAATGAGCTAAAGCTCTTGGTCCAGTCCTATCAGCTGCAGGAGCGCCATGATTGCCACTGATCTTGGATCCCCTCACTGATCTTGGAGTCTTAGTCTGTTGATTGCCAGGCTGTGCTCCATAAAGTGTTCTAATGTTTCGTCACTGTCAAGAGAGAGATTGCACTTAGCATCTTCCACAATTATTGGGTTGTCAAGAGAGAGATTGCACTTAGCATCTTCCACAATTATTGGGTTGTCAAGAGAGAGATTGCACTTAGCATCTTCCACAATTATTGGGTTGCATAAGTGTTTGCGCAGCCAGCAGTAAGCATTTTTATGGCACAAAGAGACTCCAGTCCAATCCAGACGTCAGCAATTTGATTATCCAATGTGTGTGCTGGGATCCAATAGATGGTTACCCTAATCCGCTTCACCAATTTATTCAAGATCTCACTATTATTGAGACAATCTTGTGGGTTCGCTGCCAGGCTGTCTAAGAAAATAGCTGTGTTTATTGGTTGCATTTGCTCTTTTGCGTGAATATCCGCTTGTAATTTTCCTGTCGCAAAAATTGATTAGATTAGATGGTATTTAAATTTTTTTAATTGACAGCACAACTGACAGGCTAACATGCCCATGTTATTAAAAGCAACCCATTGATATTTAATTATGCATTTTTTCTTTTTTCCGATTCGAATTTTTGCTTGGAAAGTGTTGCTTAGGTTTTCCGAGTGTCATGTGGGAGACTTTTTGAAGGCGACACGTGTCAGCCAGGTGGGTGCAACGGGTGGGGATTATTTAATAATCATGTTTTTTTTTTTATATATCTATATACATTTTATGTATATATTCATAGGGAAGAGAGAGTCTTTAGCGAGTCTAAAGCGGATTACTCAGCAGCCAAATCAGACATTAAGCCTTTTTCAAAAGGATTTGGGAGCCGAGTAAAGTGAATGTCGACAAAATAAAAGCAGTCAGAGAGGAATGGCGGCCGAGGAGATAGACAAGGGCAGAGATAGACACCGACAAGAGCTAGTTGATGGCTGCCACTGGGGTAAACTGTAGTGAAAGCAACTGTGAAAAAGAAAATGCGACTACCTCGTAATATTTTCGGTTTTTTATATACTTTTTTTTTATGCTGGTCCACGATTTTTGCATGAGCGACTAAAAAAGGTAAAAAAAAAGAGTGTAAAGAGAAAATGCCATAAAGGAAATGCACAGATACGTAGGAAAATGGAGAAGAGCAGAAATGCTGGGTGGCTGAGTATAAGGATAAGGATAAGGCTAAGGATGTGAATGATGAAGAGACTGTGACTGCGAAATAAGGAAGTGTCGCATATTAAGTCGAGCAAATTACGCTTGCGGGCGGAAAGGGAAATGTTGTGGTGAGGGGTAGGAAAGATGAAGAATTGCCGCCGCGCCACCAACGTGGAAATGCCAAAACAAAACCAGACAAGTGGAATGAAAAAAGAGTGGGAAAACAATCTGAAAAGTGAGAAAAAGTGGCAATCGTCGAGGAAATTCCAAGTTTTATATAAGAGTTGAAAACGGGCATGTGGCATTTCTGCAACTGGATGCTTTCCTTTAGTTTTGGCAGATCTCGGATACTTCAGTCCGTAACTCTGTTTCAGACTTCTCTCTCTCTCTCTCTCTCTCTGGCCTACCTTATGTGGCACATGCAGAAAAAGGCCAAGCCTTGCTGTAATTTCAACATCCTTTTCAGTATTGCTCGGGGCTACTTCACAGTTTTTCACTTTGCCCACTCGCTGTGCACACTTCGCCTCCGTTGTAATTCAATGAAGGATAAACAAATGTGAACTGCCTAACCGCCTCACGCCCTTTAACCCCTTCGCATAGTATGTACACGTGTTTTCCGCTTCTGTTTTTTTTTTGTTTTTTTTTGTTTTTGGCCCATCTCATCCAAAAAATTTGCATATCCAATCGCGAGGCTACGGAACTGCCACATTACGTATACGCAGTCAGTGGCGTTTCGGACAGCTCGAACATTGTATTTCGACAGTTTTTCAATCATGCCCGCCCCCTGGTGTCCTGCTCCACTGGTGGCTGCTCTAACCTCTGTTTGTTTGGGTCGATTGGTTTTGTGGAGGCATTTTTTCTGGCCACGTTAACAAATCGTTGCAGCCATAAACAAAAGCCTCGCAGGCGCCCATGATTAACAGCTCGCACCCATTCACCGTCCAACGTCCAACGTCCAACGTCCAACGTTTACACACCCACCGCCCCCGCCCCACAAAACTGGCGTAAAACTGAGCAACAAAGCGAAAATTTTCATAATATCTTTAAGACCATTATATTTATTATAATAACAAACTTATCAACGAGCCCACTCAGCCACTGAGACGTCTACTCTGCCTTATCTGGCCAAGTCCAGTGGCCAGCGCATATTAACGTGAAGCGTATTAACTGGTTTTATGCCTAGCATAGTTCTGAAAGCACCTTTTGCTAAGTTGACTTT